TAAGTGGTAAGTTGCTGTTTAGTTTAGTGTGAGAAGAATGGATACTTTATGAGATTATAAAAACCAAAGTGACCCTCACAACCTGTGAGATACTCGGGTCAACCTTTTGGTGCACTGGGTATCTGGCACAATTAGCCAACCAGAACCCAAATCCTTTTACAGTCTTTTCTATGACCAAAGGCCCAATGTTAGCTACTTTTGGCAAATGTAAACTATGTCATTGCAAGTTAGTCATTTTGTATTCCTGAATCTGCTGGGTGAACCTTTGTAATTTCCAGTCACATTGAAGGTGTTGAAAATGCAGCCCCTTTGTTGTTCATCCTGTCATGTTGCCCCATCCACAGGTAGCCCAAACTCTGAAGGAGTTTGTTGGACTTTGAATTTATAAGAGAATGTATGACAATAAACAAAATACGTCCTAAATTCCATTTTTTGACAAAAATAGAAACGAGAATGACTTACCTTGTGTTTTTGTTTTGTTAAGCTAAAACGGCCTGGTTATACCCTACTTCAATAATAATTATTTATTTATCAGTATTTTAGTTATTCATTTTGATATTAGGCAGGTAGCACAAGGAAATGATTTGGTTGTTCCTTTTTAATTTAGATGATAGATAACTTTATAGGTGATAATTATTTGTAATGCACTAAACTGGGGGCCTTTCTCTGCTACCAAAAGAAAATCTTTAACTTTTAAAACAGAAGGGTCAAGGCTTCTTTGCTGAATCAAGGCACTGTATCATGGAACACAGTGCTTTTTAGAATTACCGCCAAAGTAGCAGCTTTATTCCCTGAAAGAATGATTATAATGGAAGCTTTATTTAATACATGGCTAATTTCAAATTTTCAGGTGACTTTCCACCCCAGGTATAGAGGGTACATAAAAGCACATCACATTGTGGAAGTGGAGAAAGAGTAAGAGGAAAGTAAAACAGAGGAAAGAATTATGGGAAAAGGAAGAAATGAAAAAATGGTTGCAGAATTGTAAACCAACAACTTTATTTTTATAAAAGTAATAAACAATTTTTTTTACACATTTTATCAAATTCTTTGAGTGGTTTGTTTGTGGTTTTGAGAATTTTATTAACCAAATGGTCAAGCTACCCAGACATACAACTGAGCAGCCAACTGCTTGGCCTCAATGAAAATTTTTTTTTTTTTCCTGTTTTCTTTTTTCTTTTTTTCTTTTTTTTTTTTCATTTTATTTGCTATTTCTCTTGAAGCCTTCTCCAATTTTCTTCATTTCTTCATTTCTTTCTCCAACTGGTTTCTCTGTTCCTCACAAGCATTTGACTGCAACACCCTCCGGATCTCCAACTCCTCCTCCTGTTACAGCTGCAACATGGATATACCTGCATGATCATTTTTATTCCATTTTAAATTTATGATAAGCTCACCATACTGAGTGAAAAACAAAAAATAGCCCATAACCAGCTTAATGCTGAAGGTCTTGTCTCATCAGGAGCTCAGAAGGCAATCAAGGAAATAGGTAATAGGTCACAGGGAGGGGAAGGAAAACACCCCCCCCCCCCCCTCTTGAGTGGAGGAAGGGGGAAGAAAAAGAAAAATAATTCATCCCAGGATCAACAGGATCTATTTCCACACTTTTCAACACCATGATGGTACCACTTGGCTGAGGACTATTGTCAGAAAGTTCAGTGTGGAATAGGGTATGGAAGGCAGAGAGTTTTGGTGACAATGAGGCTCCTAGGATTTGAAAAAAAAAAAAAAAAACAAAATACAAGTGCAAAAAAGCCACTATAAATAATTTTGCAAAAATCCTAATGTTTAGGATAAATAATTTGAATTGATACTAGAGTTTCTAGTAAATGTAAAAAGATAGCAGGTGAACATGGGCGGGCTGGCAGAGGCCAGCAGTAGATCTAGGGGAGGTCCCCTGCCCTCCATATTCTAGATCAAATTGAGGACAACAGTGCCAAGAAAATTCTTTTCTAGATTGAGCTCCTCCGTACCTTAAGGTCTGAATGAGTGGTTCCTTCCCGCCACCTTAAGGTCTGGTGAGAATCCTCCCCCCCCCCCCTGCCCCACCCCTCTTCTTATCTGAAGGTTCCAATCTGCCACTGTAGGCTCCAGGTCCTATATCAGAGCTATACAGAGACACTACACTAATACAATCTGCAGGACCATTTTTTTTTACAAACTTGAGCATATGTCTGCCTGCGCTTGTAATAGTGATCACCAAGGTACAAGAAGTATGACCTGAAGTAAATTAGGGACCTCTCATTTATTAGAGGGGGGGGCGAAGGCTGGTGCAATTCTTTTTTCCCAGGTGAATTTTTTTTATGCCCTCCCCCAATTTCCTGCAGAAAAAATGTAACCCTCCCCCTTGTATGGCCCAAAATAGTTATGACCCTCCCCACGCTAAAAGATATGACAGGGATTATTAAAAGAGATCAACTTTTACCTTGTGATGAAGGGAGGTGCCAACACGACATTCAGGAACAGGTATCTAAGATCACCTCATGCATTGAAGCAATATTGAGCACAAACAATCCTGGTGCTGCTGGAAAATTTTACACAACCGATTATGTTCTTGTCCCAGTTGATTAGTTAATACTGAGGGCGAACATTATGAAGCTCAGTGAGTTACTAGAGATCAGTGCAAAGACATGTTTCGCAGTGTGTTGCTGTTGAAAAACAAATCAAGAAAAAGACGTACATGTAGGGTTGTTGGGTAGTTCAGGTTGATCATTATGAAAGTTTAAAATGCTTACTGTGCAAAGGACTTGTTTGTTAAATAATATATTTTATTTGTTGATTTATTTTTATTTTAAGTGAACAGCAATGTTTGCTAAAATTGGTATGGCCCTCCCCAAAGCCCAGCTTAAATTTTTGGTGACCCTCCCCTTTTTGGCTACATAAAATTTAATGACCCTCCCCCCAATTGCACAAGCCCTCCCCCGCCTCTAATAAATGACGGGTCCCTTATGTGTTTTTTACTAGTGTTAACACTTGGAACCAACTAACCCATAAAATTACACAGGGGCACCCAACGAGGATATAGTTCAAAACCACTTAACATAGCATTGTTGAACGTATTTTAGTATTCAAACGGTAGATATAGGCATATTTTTATCCCCTAAAAACTTTTCATCTGTTCGGATTTCCTAGCTGAAAATCTAGTGATCCGAAAATTATAGGGATAAAAACTTACCTTCTCGAAAATTTCAGCCATGAAAAGGCTCCCGAAAATTCTAGGTGGCCTTTTTTAGGGTCAAAATCCGTTAAAAATGAGTAATTATACCATTTTGTAGATGTTCGAAAATCCTAGGAGAGGCAGGCAAGCAAGAAATTTTGCAACCAATTCTCCGAAAATTCTAGATCTCAAATCGTCTTCCGAACAGATATTTTCCCGAAAATTGCCGTTGGGTGCCCCTGATTACAAGATGGTTAACTGACCTTTACTGTATTTGTACCCTCTTTGTAAACGTAACAATCATGTTTGTATTGGGAAATTCAGTAATAATAATCCACATGGCCAAAACGTCCATATTTGGCCATTCTTATTCTGAAGTATCCACCTTATTCTGAGCTATCCAAACAGATACTTTGCTATGAATAAGCTTTACACGGCAGTCGCGGTAGTGCCTACTGTAATTAAACAGACATTGTTTGCTCCTTGCACTAAATTCTTACAAAAAGAACGTGAAAAACAACTAACCTCTATGTAGGCTTTGATCCATATTTTGGAGTAAGCCTTTTCAGTCTTTGTATATACTTACAGGGGCACCCAACGAGGATATAGTTCAGAACCACTTAACATGGCATTGTTAAACGTATTTTAGTATTCAAACGGTAGATATAGGCATATTTTTATCCCCTAAAAACTTTTCATCTGTTCGGATTTCCTAGCTGAAAGTCTAGTGATCAGAAAATTATAGGGATCAAA